AACGGACAGTTTGGGATGCGGTCGGCCATTGGGTGCACCAAAAGCCGTAGTACCGCAAACGGACCACCGTGTCTGTCCTTCCCCAAAGGTCCGTTTGTGGGGTCATGCGTGGAGTTGAACTCAGCATTGCCGTGCTACACGGACTGGACCAGAGTACAGTACCGGTCACACCACGCGGTCAGTCAGTCAGTGTGTCCAAGCTGTATAAACCAGTGTACCCAGCGGTAGAAAACAACATGACCTCGATCGTGTCTTTGCTTACCTGGGCGTGTGCGTCTTCATACGGTAACATTCGGGGTCGACGTGCACGTGCTTGACGGGTTATAAATCTTAAATGACTTGCCGTCCAGTCCCTTTCCTATCCCCCTCGACGTAGATTGAGGTGGTTGATCCAAGCAACTGGAGCGAAGGGTGCAAGCCAAAAGTCAAACATAACAGACGACTGGGACTGGAACATCGGTATTCAATTGCGTAGGCAATGAATACTTCAGTTTCGAAAAACCATAGTTTTTTTCGTTTACGGTTTAGAAAAAAAGTGGTCAGGACATCATTTCTTAAATACTAAAGAAACATGGTATTAGAGACAATATGTTTATAAAACTTTGATATTTGTTGAACCCAAACCCCTTAAAAAAAGATTTGAAAACTGTGGTTTCTGAGAAAACCATAATGTTCTTCAAATAATTCAAAAAGAACTAGCTTAAGTCTTCGTAGTTGCATCTTTTATTTTACCCTTTACCATTTTATCTTGCAAGTCTTTTTTAGGGGTACCTTTCCACTGTAAGTTGCCTGGCAAGTTTACATTCATTTAGTTTCAATCAATTCTCCGTTGAACACTTGCACCACTTCGTCAGTCAATGTGTGAACTAAATGTGTTGCGTCCATTTCACTAATAAATGAGTATGAACAGCTTTTTACTATTGACATATACACAAACGCGTGTATTATGAAGTCATTGCTAATTTAACAAAAAGTCGCACAAATCTCAAAACTAACTATGAGTGGCTTACATTTTTGGTGGGTGTGGTTGCCGTGTGCTACTCGTCTGCATCCGCTTACAACCTGCTTACATGTCATTTTGTTTATATGGAGGAGAAAAATATAAAAAAGTAAGGAAAATGAACTCTTATGCAAAAGCTTAACTATATGTGTATTCTTAGACAAATACAATAAATGTTAAAAAAGAGAAAGAGAGAAGATAGAACAAACTACTAATGTAATAACCAACCTTTAGAGCATTTACAACCGGACATAGCAAATATAACCCCTTAAACGCACGCGGATGTGCCCGGTCTGTCCGTTTTGAGCCCCTATTTATCCGTCCGTGCAACCCCACTTTTCATTTTTCTTCTCATATATCCGATCACTTGCACATGATTGGTCAAGATGAAGAGATAGAAAAAAAAAGAGGTGGTCGGGTAGGGCCGCGTCCTATGTGGCGGAATGTCCGAGCGCGGCCGGGCGTGTCCGCGAGCCCTCGTGTTCTCTTCATATTTAAGATGGATATAAGAGTTTGCGGACAGCCCGGGCCTATAGGATGATACGAGGGATCTAGTTGGGTCACGTTTTTCCTTCTCTCTCCTGCCCGGTCACTGACCGGGCACGTCCACGAGCGTCTGAGGGATGGTTTGAGGTGTCCGGCTGTAGATGCTCTTAGCTCACACTATTGTATGAATGACGATATGGCAGTTTCATATAGCCAGCACTATTAACCATGCTCGCACCCAACCACCAACAACCAGCCGACTACAATTAATCACGGTGGCCCTACTAGTGTAAGAAGTCATCGTGTAGACTAAAATAGTTTTTGACATAGATTTCAAAATAATAAGCATCGGCCAGATTGCAGTGAGCAGCGCTCGCCGTGTCCCTCGCGCCGTTCAGTCCTTTTCAAACTACTAGGGCAGGACTGCAACTAAATTATGGAAGCCACGTGAACCTGGGTGTATATAACTACTAGGACACAAGGTGCTTCCTCCTGCGCACTGGATACATGAAAAGTAAGAAGAACCGGACGGATGCCATGACCATGAGAGTTGCCTACATCTTCAGCACATCCATCTCATTCCTTCTCTTGCTTATCTCCCTTGCGCTTGCAAAGGATCATGGCATCAGCTACCTTGGACCAGGTTCCTCCATCTCCACCAACAGCAGCAGCAACAGCACAACCACCACCATCCTTTTATCGCCCAGCGGTGCTTTCGCCTGTGGGTTCTATAGGGTGGCCACCAACGCTTTCACCTTCTCCATCTGGTTCACCGGCTCATCAGGGAAGACCGTCGCTTGGACGGCTAACCGCGATGTGCCCGTGAACGGTAGGGGATCTAGGCTCTCCTTCCAAACGGACGGGGGCTTGGCCCTGCTTGACTACGATGGCACGGCCGTCTGGAGCACCAACATGAACGCCGCTCGTGCAAGCCGAGCAGAGCTTCTCGACAGCGGCAACCTTGTCGTCGTGGATCAGGACGGTCGGCAACTTTGGAAGAGCTTCGACTCACCGACCGACACGCTTCTGCCATCCCAGCCCATGACCCGGTACGTACAGCTGGTATCTGCATCTGCCAGGGGTCTGCTCTACACAGGGTTCTATACGTTGTACTTTGACAGTGACAATCAGCTAAAACTCATCTATGATGGCCCCGAGATTAGTAGCATATATTGGCCCAACCCTGCCAACAAACTGTGGGTAAATCAGAGGAGTGCTTACAACCGTAGCCGCTATGCTGTTCTTCAACAGACAGGCCAGTTTTTCTCGAGTGACAACTCGACATTTGAAGCTTCTGATCTTGGTGAAAAGGTCATGAGGAGGTTGACTCTGGATTACGATGGCAACCTTAGGCTGTATAGCCTAAACGCAACAAGCGGCGATTGGTCAGTCTCTTGGATGGCACTCCACCGAGTCTGCGATATACATGGACTCTGTGGCCAAAACAGTCTCTGCAAATACATACCAAAGCTCGAGTGCTCTTGCCTCGAAGGCTTCGAGGTGGTTGATGCAAGCAACTGGAGCAAAGGGTGCAGGCGCAAGGCAAACATAACAGCCAGCTGGGACGACCGGAGAAGACATGAGGCAAACAACATGGCCACTTTTTCGTTCAGTAAGCTCGCACAAACTGACTTTTACCAGCATGACTTGGAGTACGCAGACTCGGTGCCATTCTTGCAGTGCAAAGAGGCATGCTCGGACAATGTTGATTGCCAAGCTTTTTCGTACCGACGAGGAGAAGGCAAATGTTATCCAAAGGTCTCTCTTCTGAATGGCAAGAACTTCCCAGACCCTTACAATGACATTTATCTGAAAGTTCCCAAGGGAGTGATGTCTACGTCAGAATTGGCTTCTACAGTAACCCACGAATGCAAAATTCATGAAAAAGAAGCAGACACTTCATCGCGGATGTTCAAGGGTGCCATTTCCAAGTTCAAGGTTGGCTACTTCCTTTCTTCAGCATTAACGCTGCTTTGCATCGAAGTAGCTTTAGTCATCGCTGGTTGTTTGGTAGTTTACAAATGGAAGATAGGACCAGAGGTTACAGATGAAGGTTACATGATAATATCCAGCCAGTTCCGAATATTTAGTCACAGTGAGTTACTGAAAGCAACCAATTGCTTCCAGGAAGAGCTAGGAAGTGGTGGGTCAGGAGCAGTTTACAAAGGAGTCATTGATGATGAAAGGACGGTTGCAGTGAAGAAGCTAAACGATGTGATCCATGGAGAGCAGGAGTTCAGGTCTGAGCTAAGTGTCATAGGCAGAATTTATCATATGAATCTGGTCAGAATGTGGGGGTTTTCTGTCGAGAAGACGTGCAAGCTCTTGGTTTCTGAGTTCATCGAGAATGGTTCTTTAGACAGAGCTCTATTTGATTACCAAAGAATAATCCCTGTGCTCCAATGGAACCAAAGGTATAATATTGCACTTGGGGTGGCAAAAGGACTGGCCTATCTCCACCATGAGTGCCTTGAATGGATAGTGCATTGTGATGTCAAACCAGAGAACATATTGTTAGATAAAGACTTTGAGCCCAAGATTGCAGATTTTGGACTGGTTAAGCTACAAAAGCGAGGATCAAGAGCACTGATGTTGTCAAGGGTACTTGGGACCAGAGGATATATTGCACCGGAATGGGCTCTAAACCTTCCAATCACTGGCAAGGCCGATGTTTACAGCTATGGAGTAGTTCTTCTTGAGTTAGTGAAGGGGGTTCGGGTTTCTAGTTGGATGGTCGACGCTGAGGAGGAGGTGGAAATGGCTGTTAGATGCTCTACTGAAATTCTTGAAGAGAAACTAGCAGGCGAAGACCAGTCATGGCTTCTGGAGTTTGTCGACCACAGACTGGATGGAGAATTCAACCATTCGGAAGCGATAGTAATGCTTAAGATAGCAATATCATGTGTGCAAGAGGAGAGGAGCAGAAGACCGAGCATGAGCCATGTGGTCGAAACTCTGCTTTCACTTGTGGAATAATGTTCAGTGTAGTATTTACTATTGTTACATCTAGCTGATGTAAGAATAATATTATGTGATGTTGCAGAAAAGGCAAGCCTTTCCTTGCCATATGTGGAGACTCTCCGGATTTGTACTAATAACTAGTTTCTTAAGATGGAGTACTAGCCAGTAACTGATATTTCATTTTGTCTTTCTGTTTGGATGCTTAATTCCATATAACATAACACATCTACTTTCAGTTATTTGAAGAAATCAATCCTAGTGAGCCAGACTGATTGCAAACAGAAATATACCAAATCTAACATGAATAGTAGGTTGGAACAATCCATATTATTCTGTGATGTTGCAGAAAAGTTGATGCAAGCCTTTCCCTGCCATAGGTAGAGACTCTCCCGAAGTCCGGATTCGTATCAATAACTAGTTTCTCAAGATGGAGCACTAACCAGTAACTGGTATTTCATTTTGTCTTTTTGTTTGGATGCTTAAGTCCATATAACATAACACATCTGCTTTTAGTTATTTGAAGAAATCTGCAATCCTAGTGAGCTAGATTATTAGCAAACAGAATTTGTTGCGGAATCTAACATGAATAGTAATAGGTTGGATCAATCTATAGCCAGTTGTACTACTACTTGATTTATCATGCAACCAACAGATTAAAGAACAGAAGAATCAACAATGACAGGGAGTGTCAAAACAATCACCAGTTCACCTGAGCACCTCGAGGTCGGCTCGGTCGACGCGGAAGCCGGCGGGGAGGCAGGGGATGCGGGAGGAGGCGCCGGCCACGAGGTTCCCTCCCGGGCCGTCGAAGCGCGCCGCCGCAGGAGGGGGGCGGGAAGGAGGAGGAGGTGCTGTTGGGGTCGGAGTCTCGGAGAGGAAGGCGAGCGACGGCGAGGAGGGGGGAAGGGGAGGAGCGAGTCGAGGAGGCCGGAGAGGTAGTAGAAGGCGAGCGGGTAGTGCGAGCTGGAGCTTCGCGGTGACGCCGGTGAGGGCTGCCGCGGCGCGTCTCTGGAAGGGACAGGGGAGAGGAGCGACGCGCACCAATTCGATAGCTGTTTTTTTTTCTTTGAGGAAAACTGCTCTTTTTTTCGAGGGAGCTGTTCGGCTTAAGCTTAGCTGCTTACAAAAATACTCTTTCTTTATCTATTTATTGATTTATTTATTAAGAAAAGGCCTTTGTGGCTAGTTTCGTTAGGATCAAATCAAAATTACATCATCCACCAGCTTATTGACCGGACAATCCGGGGTTCATCGGTCCAAAAAAGCGAGTTCTTATTAAAAAAACTGTATCTAGCTAGCTCATATGCGGCCATATTGGTCAATCTAAAACAACGTTTAGAAGAGACCTTCCCAATCAAAGAAACTAAACCGGTGCACTTGGCGAAAATTGATGCTGCTCCATTCCACCACTGTGTTTGGCCAGTACAAAACTTTATGACCTGAAGAGAATCTGATTTCGCCTCGGCCCTATGAAATTCGAGGGAATTGACAGATTCCAATCTGTTCTATGTTGCCATTGCTTCAACTGTAACCACATCTCCAAATGCATTGTGCTGCAATAAACTTATCTCTCTCATCACGTATACCATATGTAAATGCATTGTGCTGCACTAAAGTTACCTCTCTCTCATCACGTATAACCGCCGTTGATGCTCCAGCACCCTCATCCACAAAGAATGTTGCGCCGACATTAAGTTTGATAAATTTTGGGTCAGGCGCGGCCATATTGGCCAATCTGAAACAACGTTTAGAAGAGACATTCCCAATCAAAGAAACTAAACCGGTGCACTTGGCGAAAATCGATGCTGCTCCATTCCATCATTGTGTTTGGCCAGTACAAAACTTTATGACCTGAAGAGAATCTGATTTCGCCTCGACCCTATGAAATCCGAGAGAATTGACAAATTCCAATCTGTTCCGTGTTGCCATTGCTTCAACTGTAACCACATCTCCAAATGCATTGTGCTGCAATAAAGTTACCTCTCTCATCACATATACCGTATGTAAATGCATTGTGCTGCAATAAAGTTACCTCTCTCTCAACATGTATAATCGCCGTTGATGCTCCAGCACCCTCATCCGCAAAGAATATCACGCCCACATTAAGTTTGATAAATTTTGGGTCAGGTATCTTCCATACTAGCGGTTGATGTACAACTCCCCCCCCCCCTCCTATGTATCCCGTGCGGACTACTTATAGAATCGACATGCTTGTAATTTGCAGGAGTACAATGTCACGCGTCTAACTAAACTTAAGTAAGCAATGCTAGTGCGAGACGACATCTAACCAACATAGTATCGTCGTGTCTACAACTTTTTAATAATCGTATACAATTGAGAATGGCTACGTGTGCAACTACAACTATTATAGAAGCCAACAAAAATAATCGCCGTGTTTGCATCGATGGGATTAATGCGTCAAGAGTTTCATACAAAAAAGATAAAGATAAAATTGGCTGCATTTTTTTTGCGAGAAAATCAAATTGATTGCATTTCCTGAACCAAAAAAGTGTTGCATCTGTACAATGAATTGAGTTTCATAAAAGATTAAGATAAAAAATGACTGCATTTATTCTGAACCAAAAAAGTGTTGCATCTGTGCAATGAATTGGGCAATAAATTTGACTGCATTTCACCTATAGAATTGAAAAAGGCCCTAGATCATGGAAAAGGGTTGTCCCTGCATTTCTGTAAATCCAAACAAGTTCATGGCTGAATCCTCGGAGAGAAAGATAGATCAGGGAGGGTGCCTTGGGGAGAGAGAGGGGGAGAACAGTGGAGAGAAGGAGGCACTTGCGTAGGTTGCTGCTACTGCCGTACTGCGGCTGCCCGTACAGCTTCTGCTTCCAGCTAGCTGGAAGAGGTTGCCATGACCCATGAGCGCCGGAGTATGGCGGCCACGTCCACATCCATACATACATGTGAGAGAATGAACATTGCCGTCGGGCACGTCGACACCATCCAGCGGCAATGGCGTGCTCTGCTTCCACCAGCAACAGCAAGCACTTACACGGCAAGCAGCACGGGGCCCAGACCTTGGCGGCGAGAGCCAGCACTGCCACGGCTCGTGCCCAAGCAAGCTAGAGCGGCCATCTCACATGCATGGCAGAGAACAAGGTACACAGCACAGAACCTGCAGAGGGTCGCAAAGAGAACCACGGCAAGGCGACGGCGAGCTGGCGTGGTGATGGGGAACCACGGCAGGAGGTCGGCGACGGCGAGCTGGCGTGGTCAGGAGGCCGCGCGAGGGAGAACGACGGGGGTGCGCGGGCGGCCGCACGCATCTCTCCTCGAGTCCGACTCCAGCTCGGCGACCTCCTGGCTCTGCACGTATGCATGCCAACGTTTTTGAGTGGCAATTTTACACCTAACAAGGCTCGGAAACACTGCAGAATTCGCTCCTGGTTCACGCGCTGCTTGGTACGCACGCTTGTCTCCTTAAGTCCGAATCCACCTCAGCGACCTCCCGCTGGATATAAGCCTAGCTAGGGCCGCTGCCCGGCAACTCACAGCACACCTTCCTTTCCTTCGCCGATCGAGCCCTCCTGTCGTTCCTCTGCAACCATCAGCACGCCCGCTCTCATGGCGCAGTGCTTGGCCTCGACGATGCACGACCAGATCCGTCGTGATCTCGAGCGCCGGAGGAAGGTCGTCGACGCGGCGAGGGAGAGAGTTGCAAGGAAGTCGTTTGCGCCGCCGTCGCCACGCCAATCGGCGCTGATCTCCTCCACGTCAACAACCGGCGCTGTTACCATGAACCGGGCCAACGCTACGAAGGAAGGGGTAGCAAACAAACGCTCTGCTCCGAAGCCGCCGCCGCCGCACCGACCCAGGTTCATCCCGTTCGCCAGAATCGCCACAACCAATGCTGCCGGCAAGAAGATCGAGTACTTGGACCTGGGAGAAGCTCCGAACAGGCCCCTTGTCCCGCGGAAGATGAAGATCCTGACCTCGTCCGCCATGAAGCTCTCCGGCGTAGCGAGCGTGAGAATTCCCGAGAAGTCATCTGCCTCTCCATCGGCATGCCGATCCGCGCTGATCTCTTCCGTCTCAAACGACCCTGCCGCCGTCAAGTTGGCAAACGCTACCAAGGAAGTGGTTGGAAAGAAACGCTCTGCTCCGCTGCCGCGGCCGCACCGACCCGCGCTCATCCCGCTCGCGACGACCAATGCTGCCGGCAAGAACATCGCTTACACGGAGCTGGGAGAAGCTAAGAAGAGATGCACTGCCCCGCCCCGCCGATCCTCGCTTGTCCCGGCCGCGTCCACCCTGAAGGTTTCAAGCGAGATTAGCATCTGTGATGTAGTGCAGTAGGTTGCACCTGTGGCTATTCGCGATATCAGTACTGAACTAGTGAAAAATATTACAGTACAGTATTTTTCTTGTAATTTGGATCGGAGTAGTTGACTTTTGATGGCCGACAATTGTTTTCCTGCAGCTTGAGTTTCATTGATTGATGCCATCGCCGCCAACACTGATTTGTCCATCCCTCACAAAAAAAACACTGATTTGTCTGACTGAAGCTGATTTCCAATTCATTAGCAATAGCTGCCCTATTTGTTTCACCTGTATCTTTTTTTTTTGTCTGTCATCCAATTCATTAAAATAAAATCAAAGGACTGGACACCCTTGTGTTTGCAGGAAGTTGTGTCTCTGACAAAAATGGGCCACGCTCCACGACGACATGCTTTCTGTGAGGCTTTGAAACAGGAACTGGGCATTAATCTGGAAGCCTTCACGGAACGTTATTTGGGCCTACCGACAGCGGTGGGGCGCATCACTAGTGGCTCTTTTGAACATATCGGAGAAAGAAGCCGTAGTAGTATGCATGGATGGGCAAAACGCTACCTAGCGTGTGCGGAGAGGGAGGTACTTCTAAAATCTGTTACACAGGCCATTCCCACCCACGGTATGAGTTGTTTCAAGTTAACAAAAAAGGTCTGCAAACAGCTCACATCATCCATGGCAAAATTCTGGTGGAGTAGCTCCATCGACAGGCGTTCGCTGCATTGGATGTCTTGGGAGAAGCTGTCCGCACCAAAAATACAGGGCGGGATGGGCTTTCGGGAGTTTGAAAAGTTTAACCTAGCGCTTCTCGGGAAGCATGGCTGGCGGCTCCTAACCCATCTGAATACCCTCTGTTCGCGAGTTCTCAAAGGAAAATACTTTCCTAATGGAGAATTTTTGCAGGCTCACGCTCCAGCTTCTTCCTCCGCTACATGGAAGGCGATTATAGCCGGGCGTACAGCTTTGCAAACAGGCCTAATCAAGAGGGTAGGCAATGGCGAGTCAATTTCTGTTTGGAATGACACTTGGATTCCTACCACCACTTATCTCAAGCCTACAGGACGACAAGGGACCGATCATATTGAGCGTGTCTCTGAACTAATCGATCACCAGTCTGGAACTTGGGATGTTGAGGTAGTGAGGCGAAATTTTCTTGCACCTGATGCCGAGGCAATACTAAATATCCCAATTCGGCTCAATGGTGGAGAAGATACCCTAGCGTGGGCTCTTGAAAAGTCCGGCGAATACACTGTGAAATCAGCTTACCGTGCTCTAGTGACTCGAGACGAGCTGCGTGCTCTAGAGGAAGGGACGGTAGTGGAAACTTCAGCGTCAGAAAAACAGTTGTGGGCCGCTCTTTGGAAACTCAAGGTCATACCTAGAGTTTGGGTTTTCTGGTGGAGGGTGCTCTGGGGCATCCTTCCAGATTATGCTACCTTGCACTATCGTCATATCCGTACCACATCGCTATGTGATCTTTGCAAAGCTATGAACGAGGATCTGATGCATGCCTTGGTCCTTTGTTCTCATGCTAAGGCCTTCTGGACAGCAGCAAAAGAAGTACTTGGGATCAAACTTCCAAGGCTACACCTGCATACATGGGAGAGGGACTTAGTGGTGGATACTATGTTCTCCGATTCAGAGAGATGCAAAATTATTACTATCATGTACTCTATTTGGACCTCGCGGAACAAATGGACACATGATGAGGAAGGGTACAACCCAATGCAGGCGGTTAAATGGGCCCGAGATGATCTAGCTCTTTTGGAGCTTCCGAAGGACCATTGCCGATCGCGTTCTAGCCAAGGCTGGATTCCACCAGCTCCTGGCTGGATCAAGATTAACACGGACGGGGCGATCGACAGCCAAGCTTGAACTGGAGGTGCAGGGGGGGTGGCGCGCTCTCATCTCTCCTTCATGGGTGCTTGGAGTAAGCCTTTACCCGGTGTCACGGATCCCTTCATTGCCGAAGTTTTGGCCATGCGAGAAGGTGTCATATTTGCACAGTTGAGGGGCTACTCGCATGTGGTAATGGAGTTTGATTGCCTAGAGGTCGTGAATCTCTGGAACTCGCATTACAACCCCAGGTCGGTTGTGACGCCTATCTTCGATGAAATTAAGGGAAGAGCCATGGAGTTTGCTTCTTTTTCGGTTCGACACGTCAATAGGGAAGCCAATGTTGAAGCTGACCTATGTGCTAAACATGCCACTGCTTTATCGGTTTCAGATTGTTGGTTGGAGTCTGCTCCATCCTTTATAGCTGCAAGCCTTATGGCTGACTGTAACAGAATTTCTATCATGCAATAAAGATCCCTATTTCCAGTCAAAAAACAAAGCTAATTGAGTTTTTTTAGAGAATATGCAAACAAGCATTTGCACTATCCTTTTTTGTATGTGGATGATATCTTGCTTTGCTAGCAGTGATGTTAGTCTGCTACAAGAAACCCAAGAAATTATTGTACTCAATTTTTGATATAATAGATCTTGGTGAAGCATCATATGTTTTAGGCATAGAAATTCACTGAGATAGGAAAAGTGAAGTTTTTGGACTATCGTAGAAGGCATATTTAGAAAAGGTTCTTAAAAATAATAATATGCATACGAGTAAAGCCACACCTGCTCCTATAGTCAAGGGCGACAGTTTTGGGAAATTTCAATGTCCCAAGAACCAGTACGAGATTGATCAAATGAAAGCAGTACCATATGTTTCGGTTGTTGGAAGTTTACAGTATGCACAAGTGTGCACTCGCCCTGACTTAGATTTTATCAACGGGGTACTCGGTAGATATCAAGACAATCCAGGCACAAAGCACTGGAAGATGGTAAAAAAAAGCATTGTGTTATGCGCAAGGTACGAAGGACCTCATGCTAACCTACATGAGATCTGATTCCCTAGAGATAAGAGGGTATCCAGAAGCAGATTTTGCGGGAGACAGAGATGATAGAAAATCCACGCTAGGATACGTGTTCACTCTCGTTGGAGGGGCTATTTCGTGGAAAAGCTCGAAACAGTCAATAGTTGCATCGTCCATGATGTATGCAGAATTTATAGCATGTTTTGAGGCCACGGGGCAGGCAATATGGTTAAAGAAATTTATACCTGACTTAAAAGTGGTAGATTGTATTGACAAACCACTAAAGACGTACTCTCACAACCAGCCCGCGGTATTCTATATATGCTCACAACAACAAGTCAAGTAATAATGTTGCCAAAACAATAGAGATAAAGTATTATATTGTGAAAAATAAAATGCAGGATCACACTACAAGTCTTGAGCATATAAGGACAAAGGATATGCTTGCGGATCCGCTTACAAAAGGCTTACCACCCAATGTGTTCAAGGAACATTTAGCTGGCATGGGTTTAAGGGAAATCCTATGACTCCTGGATCATGAGAGGCCCAAAAGGAACAAAATTTGTTTCAAAACAGAGAGATATATTGTAGATGTCTGATTCTATCGGTAATTGAGCTGTGACGATGAAACATGCTCTATGTACAATCGGTGATGAAACTTGTAAAGTACAAAGTTAAAAGTAAATTTGAGATCAAGGGGGGTGTTAATTAGATTGATCTGCACCCATTTGAGCTCAACGGCTCAACAGGCCCCTTGGCATGCGCCCTGATCGGGGGCGCCCAACCCTCTTTTGGTTGGTGGGCCTCTGTCGTCAGCACTATAAAGAGAGGTGGGGCCCAGACGCACAGATCACGAGGTTCACCGTGCGCCACACACCCCACCGACACCCCAATCCGATCTAGGTTAGTGCTAGGCTGACGGGAAGCTCTGCCGCCGCCTCTGCCCACTCGCCATCACCATTGTCACCCTCCGCCATGGCCACCAGCTCGAGCTCATCGAGCCAAGGAGAAGGTAGACTACTGTCAAATCTCTAATCTACCCGATCCTAAGGATCTAGTATCAGTTAAAACACGAAACAAAGAACACCAGTGTAGACGAATGGAGCAGCTCGCAGGCATGTCATCGCTGTTGGCTCGTTGGACTAAATTAATACTCCAGTGTACACCAATGTAAGAGATCGTCAACAGATATGACCCCGGCTTGAGCTGTGCGCATTGACACGTCCCTGCACTTCACCTAACCAATCAGATCACCCCGTGTCACCCAACCAATGGGATTTCTACCGCAGTTTCTTCTCCACCAAGTCAATACAAGCAAGACTAATATAGTACTACCACTCTCTCATGTTTAATTTATGGGCCAGTGCGTGAATCAAAGGGCAATACATAATTTAGACAAATGGGCATATGAATCTCTATATGTACTGTGGCTCCCGACTGTACGATAGCCATCAAAACAAAGTTCCACTTGCACTGCCATAAACTTGTCTTCTCTCACCTCTCAACCAAGACACCAATTGCTTCCGCACGGCCATGAACCTAGCCTCAATTCCATGGGGATCCGTGATCCGCGGCATCCTAGGCCTTGTGCTTCTGTGGCAGGCCACCCGGCTGCTACACTGGTTGTGGTGGTGCCTGCGGCGGTTGGGGCGGGCGCTGCATGCACAGGGGCTCAGAGGAACTCCGTATCGCTTCCTCACCGGCGACATTATTAAGGCCAACCGACGAAACAGGGGGGCACGGTCAAAGCCCATGTTGCTGGGTTGCCACGACATTAGTCCTCATGTCGCTTCGTTCCTCCATGACGTCCTACGGAAGCATGGCAAGATGTGTGTGTCGTGGCTTGGCCCGACTCCGAAGGTAACCATTGTAGACCCTAGCCTAGGCAAGGAGGTGATGTCCAACAAGTTTGGCCATTTCGAGAAGCTCAGGTTCCCGGCGCTGTCGATGTTGCTTGCCAAAGGTGTGGCGGACTACGAGGGCGAGAAATGGGCCAAGCATAGGAGGATCCTCAACCCCGCATTTCATCTCGAGAAGCTCAAGGTGCGTACGTGTAATTTTGTCACATAAGGCACATATGACTTTTATGTGTATATGCTTGTAAATACTCATTGTGATTAAGTGTGGGCTATGGCTAAATCTCTCGCAACTCATGCTACCTGCGTTTTCTGCGTGCTGTGAAGAGCTTGTTGGTAAATGGATGCGGTCCCTTGACCCTAACAATTCATGCGAGTTGGATGTCTATCCAGAACTTCAGAGCCTCACCGGAGATGTCATTTCTCGCACTGCATTCGGGAGTAGCTACCTTGAAGGAAGGGAGATTTTCCAGCTGCAATCCGAGCAAGCCGAGCGCCTCTTGACCAACCTGAAGAAGATTATCATACCTGGTTACACGTGAGTTAGCACATGGTACCATGTAAACTTCAAAGTATTTACCACAAACCAGTTATTTTTACTAATTATGTATAAGCGTGTAAATTTTCAGATTCCTGCCTACAAGAAACAATCGAAGGATGCATCAAACTAACAGAAAGATTGAATCCATTTTGCGTAATCTAATTGAGAAGAGAATGAAAGCAATGCAAGAAGGAGAAAGCACCAAAGATGACTTACTCGGTCTAATTCTCCATTCAAGCATGACTGCCACAAATGAAAATAGTCAATCCATCCCCGGAATGACAATTGAAGAGGTCATAGAGGAATGCAAGCTATTTTATTTTGCAGGATCGGAGACAACATCAGTATTACTCACATGGACAATGATAGTACTAAGTATGCACCCAGAGTGGCAATACCGTGCAAGGAACGAGATCCTTGGCATATTTGGGAAGAACAAACCTGAGTATGAGGGCTTTGGTCGACTCAAAACGGTGAGCAATGTTGGAACTGCTCGATTTCATTGAAACAATAAAACTGTGAAAGTGATTTGGACTTATAAAGTTTATATATCAATCTACGACCGATGCAGGTGACCATGATTCTATATGAGGTTCTTCGGCTATACCCACCGGCCATCACATTCATTCGAAAGACATGCAAGGATATGAAGATCGGAGGCATCACATACCCAGCCGCCATCCTCATCGAACTACCCTGTGTTGTTCATCCACCACGATATTGAAATTTGGGGCAACGATGCACTTGAGTTCAATCCGGAGAGGTTCGCTGAGGGGATCTCCAAGGCATCCAAGGATGTGGGTGCATTCCTCCCATTCGGTTGGGGGCCACGGGTCTGCATCGGCCAGCAATTTGCGCTTCTTGCGGCCAAGATGGCAATGTGTATGATTCTTCAACATTTTGAGTTCAGCCTTGCACAGGCATACACTCATGCACCGCACGATGTGACATTTTTGCGTCCGATGCATGGTGCTCAAATTAAGCTCTACGCGATTTGATCATTATGCTCGCTCACGCCTCATTCATTGCCATGTGTGCACTCATGTGGTAAGACTTTATTTGGAAATTTGTACCAATGTATTGTCTATGTTTTCTTAGAAATAAAAAGCCAACACATTTGGGGCTTCCTTGTTCGATCTATAACCATCTGAAAATATGGTAGTTGGCTTTTATTATCATTCTATGATGGAACAAGACACCCAAAGTTCCAGCAACAAAGCACAATACGTTGTGAGGGCTCTCTGACTTCTGGCAATTCCAAGCATGAGTTTTGACCTCACTGAAAATTTCTTTTGAGAATTTAATTGCAAATTCTCTCTTTCTCTTTCTCTCTCTCTCTCTCTCCTGGTTTATCCTTTTAAGTAAACACATAATCTCAAATTTCGTGTGTTTTTGGTGTAGCGTCAAACACCCCTTTTAAGCAATTTTTGTTGGATTGCACTGTAACGTTGCGTTGTAAGGGAAGACTACTCTAGAAGTATATGAGAAAAAACACACACAGGAGGAGAAGCAAAACTGCGACGGCGCTCTGGGCCCAAGTCCAACGCTTGTCGTGCCACGAGGCCCAGATAAAGCGATCGCAAAGCCCATGAAGCTAGACAGCCCTCCCGTGACTCCCGTTCCGCTCGCTCGTGGTAGTGGCTGCTGCTGCGCTTCGGTTGTTTTAGTCCCACCTCGCCCAGCCAAGGAGGACGGAGCAGGAGAGCCGCTATAAGAGGAGAGGCAGGTGCGACATTGCTCCATACTTACCTGGACGGGGTCGACGGGTGATCAGGAAGATCACATGGTGGGTGCGTTGGCTTACCATCTTCCCAAAGTGGGAGAGTGGACGTCATAATTTGTGGTAGAGGGGTACGCGTTCGCGCGGCCCCTGCCAAATCTGCAAAATTAAACTTTGGTCCTTGTCCGAGCTTAAACCACTTCCAATTTCGCCGAGCGACATTTCAGAGCAACTGAAGCTAGCGGCGGTCAGCATTGCCGTGCTACACGGACTGGACCACAGTACAGTACTTACCAGTCAACCGGTCAAGTCAATGTGTCTAACCTGTAGCCTACGCTACAGCAATGTACCCAGCGGTAGAAGACGACATGATCTTGACGCAGAGAAGACGAAACAAGAAAATTTACATGGTATAAGAGCAGCTACAACCACAACTTGGAAATTCCACCCCTAATCGTCCGCGGGTCACAACACACTAAAAATCGTTTTCACAATCGGATACCTCAGAGCAACTCCAACGGGCTGACCCAAACGGACGGCGATTTCGTCCGCTTTTTGTCCGTTTGGGTCGGCCACGCGGACACGGACGTCCACTTCCGTGTTTGGGTCGGCGTATGCGTCCAACGCGCGCCCGACCCATTTTGACGGCGTCGACAAAAAAAAAACTGTGCACGCATATTTGAACTGAAAATAACTTAATTATACATTAAAGCCGGCCAGGAAGGCCGACGAGAGTCCACGCGTCCACATTAGCATTTAAAAAAAACCTAACTACGAGGCGACGCGCTACCCAGCGCACCCTAGGCGGCGGCGTCGTCGTCGTCCTCGGGGTCGGTGAGGTCAATGAGCGTCGGCGGAGGGTCGGCCCAGGGAAACGCCGTGGCCCATGCGGCGACGACGTAGTCAAGGGGTAGCCATTCCGGCGGGGTAGTGCCGGCGCGGGGGGTTGTGCCGCCGCCGATGCAGCCGCGGCCTGGCGCGCCTCCTCCTCGAGGTCGCGCTCGAGCATCTCCTCCGCTCATCGGCCAGCCGTCGCTGCCGCCAGTGCTCGAGGTAGGCCGCCTCCTGCGTCGGGGTCGCCTCCATCCAAACCGGCGGCGCGGGCACCCACTCGCGCACCACTCCCGTCCAGGAGAAGCTCGCGATGGAGCCCGGCTCCGGCTCCAGCTGCGGCTCCGGGTGGGCCTTGACGAGGCGTCGGGGAGGGGATGGCGGCGCCACCGGCGGCACCACGCAGTCGCCGGCCGCGGAGAGGGCCATGGCCTGCGCCATGGCCGCCTCGTACCGAGCCTCTTCTGCTGCCTCCGCCCAGCGCCGCTCGTCCTTCTCGCTCTCCCGGTAGACAGCCGCAGGGGTGAGTCGAAGGCGTACGCCTCGTCGCGGCGCTGCTCCGACGTCAGGAGCGCCCGCCAGCGACGCACCTCCTCCGCATGCGTCCTAGCCGACCGCGGCGCCGCCGGCACTGGGTCCTTTCCGGATCCAGATGCCAGTCGTGCGGCAGCGTCACGTCGGGATAGGGCAGTGGCACGCGGTGGCGCCAGTGCCACTCCGCCTGGTGCATGGGCACGTTCACCTGCTGCCTCTGTCGGCGAGCCGACGCAGGCGGAGGCGGGGTGAACTCCGCAGGGAAGGGGACGACGGGGGCCTTGCCCTTCGACTTGCTGCCGCTGCCGGAGAAGAGCCCCATTTGGACGGCTGGGGTGGCTGGGGTGGCTAGGGTTTGGTTGCCGGCGACGAGGGAGGAGCGTGGCTAGATGGGGACGGGAAGTGGATGAGGACGGCCCCGCCACATGGTCGGCTTAAAAAAGGATGACCGCCGTCGCTGACGCATGGGCCCGGGGTCATAAATTAAGCTGACCGGCGAGGGGGCCGGGTGGTTGGGCGATCAACAGGTGGGGCCGCGACGGACGTCGAGAAGGCGCGCGTGGCGTCTGTTCCGCGTCCGCGCCGACGCATTTGGGGCGCAAATTTGGGCCACAAATGCGTCGGCGCGGACACGGAACGGACGCTTTTGGGTTTGGGTCGGCGCGTTGGGCCTTCACTTTTGTCCGCGCCAACCCAAACGGACGGCGGCGGACGAAATAGATCGCCCCGTTGGAGTTGCTCTTATTTGTGCATCATCAAATCCATATTATTGCATGCACGTGAAACCCAATCTAAAACTGAACCCATCTGGCTCCGCCGTGTCCATGTCTGGCGATTGGTTGCGCCCGCCCAAATGTTGGTCTGATGGTATTTTCTCTTCTGAACCGTGACCGGGAAGCCCGCCCGATGGTATTTTCTCTTCTGAACCGTGACCGGGAAGCCCGCCCGAGCGTTTGGGACGGATATGGGGTCCGGTTGTAGATGCTCTAACCATTCCGGATACCCGTCTTGGACGGTTACACGGTTTGAAGTCCAGTCCCTCTCATAACTCGTAACCTTATAGCAGGAAGAGTAGATGCTACAGCGACTTGCAATGGATTCATGGAAGCCATGTGAACCCGGGCCCTGCGGGCCTCACATGTGTGTGATATATACATGGACACATGGCTGTAGCACTGGTTGCATGAGAAGCAAGCAGAACCAAGATGGTTGCCATGGTGGCCACCAGAGCTGCCTACATTTTCAGCACATCCATCTCACTCCTCTTGCTGATCCCCGTTGCTCTCGCCAAGGATCATCATACTCATGGCACCAGCTACCTCGAGAGAGGTTCATCGGTGTTCATCGAGGACGACACCACTACCAACACCACCACCATCCTTGCGTCGCCCAACGGCCTCTTCGCCTGCGGCTTCTACAAGGTGGCCACCAACGCCTTCGTCTTCTCCATCTGGTTCCACGGCTCGTCGGCGAAGACCATCGCGTGGACAGCCAACCGCGACGCACCGGTGAACGGCAGAGGGTCCAGGCTCACCTTCCGAAAGGACGGGAGCATGGCCCTGCTTAACTACGATGGCACGGCCGCCTGGAGCACCAGCACGACCGCGACTCGTGCCAGCCGTGCAGAGCTTCTCGACAGCGGCAGCCTTATCATCGTGGATCCAGACGGTCGGAGCCTCTGGACAAGCTTCGACTCACAGACCGACACGCTTCTGCCATCGCAGCCGATGACTCGGAACATAAAGCTGGTATCTGCATCTGCCAGGGGCTTGCTCTATTCAGGTTTCTATACATTATACTTTGACAGCGACAATGAGCTAAGACTCATCTACAATGGCCCTGACATCAGTAGCATATATTGGCCTGCCCCTTTCAACCAACCGTGGGTAAATGGAAGGACTACTTATAACAGCAGCCGGTATGCTGTTCTTGAACAGACAGGCAAGTTTGTCGCGAGTGACAACTTTACATTTGATGCTTCCGATCTTGGTGATCAGGTTATGAGGAGGTTGACTCTGGATTTTGATGGCAACCTAAGGCTGTATAGCCTAGACGCGACAAGCAGCGATTGGTCGGTCTCTTGGACGGCATTCCGCCGAGTCTGCGATATACATGGGCTGTGTGGCAAAAACAGCATCTGCAAATACCGACCGAAGCTCGAGTGCTCTTGCCTTGAAGGTTTCGAGGTGGTTGATACAAGCGACTGGAGCAAAGGGCGCACGCCCAATGTAAACAAGACAGCCAACTGGGACAACAGGAGAAGACACAAGGCAAACAGCACGGCCACCCAGGATTTCTCATTCAAAAAGCTCGCCGAAACTGACTTCTATGGATATGATTCGAACTATGTGCAGCAGGTGTCAATTCTGCAGTGCAGACGTATGTGCTGGACAATGCTGATTGCAAAGCTTTTGCTTACCGTCAGGGAGAAGGCACGTGTTATACAAAGGTCTACCTTTTTAACGGCCAGAGCTTTGCATATCCTCCCAACGACATTTATCTGAAAGTTCCCAGGAGGTTGCTGTCTTCGCCAGAATTGATTTCTTCACTAGCCCACACATGCAGAGTTCATGAAAAAGAGGCAGACACTTCATCACAGATGTTCCAGGATGGCTCTTCCAAGTTCAAGTTTGGCTACTTCCTTTCTTCTGCGTTGACGCTGCTTTTCATCGAAGTAACTTTAATCATCGCTGCTTGTTGGATTGTTTATAAATGGGAGAGAAGACCAGAGATCACAGATGAAGGTTACATGATAATATCAAGCCAGTTCCGCATATTTAGCTACAAGGAGTTACAGAAGGCAACCGATTACTTCCGAAAAGAGCTAGGAAGTGGTGCATCAGGAGCAGTTTATAAGGGAGTCCTCGATGATGAAAGGAAGGTCGCGTGAAGAAGCTAAATGATGTGATCCAAGGAGAGCAGCAGTTCAGGTCTGAGTTAAGTGTCATAGGCAGAATTTATCATATGAATCTGGTCAGAATTTGGGGGTTTTGTGTCGAGAAGACATGCAAGCTCTTGGTTTCTGAGTTCATTGAGAATGGTTCTTTAGCCACAGTTCTGTTTGATTACCAGAGCCTATCTCCTGTGCTCCAATGGGGCCAAAGGTACAATATTGCAGTTGGGGTGGCAAAAGGACTGGCCTATCTCCACCATGAGTGTCTTGGATGGATCGTGCATTGTGATGTCAAGCCAGAGAACATATTGTTAGACAAAGACTTTGAGCCCAAGATTGCAGATTTTGGACTGGTGAAGCTACTGCAACGAGGATCAAGCGCACAGATGTTGTCAAGAGTGCACGGGACTAGAGGCTACATTGCACCAGAATGGGCTCTGAATCTTCCAATCACTGGCAAAGCCGACGTTTACAGCTATGGAGTAGTGCTTCTTGAGTCAGTGAAGGGGATCCGGGTTTCCAGTTGGATGGTTGAGGGTAAGGAGGAAGTGGAAATGGCTGTTAGATGTTCTACTGAAATTCTTAAAGAGAAACTTGCAGGCGAAGATCAGTCATGGATTCTGGAGTTCGTCGACTATAGACTGGATGGAGAATTCAACCATTCAGAAGCACTCATGATGCTTAAGATAGCAGTATCATGTGTGGAAGAAGAGAGGAGCAGAAGACCGAGCATGAGCCATGTGGTCGAAACTCTGCTTTCACTTGTGGAATAATGTTCAATACTGTATTTACTACTGCTACATCTAGCTGACGTGTGTAAGAATAATATTCTGTGATGTTACACAGAAAAGTTGCCCTTATCCCTGCCATGTGTAGCAACTCTACGGATTTGTATCAATACCTAACTACTATGTAGGAGTATTTCATTTGTCTATCTGTTTGGAAGTTTAGGTCTATATAACACATCTATCTACTTCCAGCAGTTTTGAAGAAGAAATCATTAATCCTTAGGAGCTAAATCGATAGCAAACAGAAATATATCGAATCTAACATGAATAGTAGGTTGGATCAATCTAGCCAGTTTATTACTTGATTTATTGAGCAGCCAACAGATTAATGAACCCAATGTAAACAGAATACTCACCACTATACAAACTATATATGATCCAAAAGAATGAACAATGACAGGACCTGTTAAACAATCACCAGTGCTAGACCGGCGTCCGCCAATCACTCATCGTTGCTGCCAATGCGCTCCGCAGCGCTACTGCCCGCTTATCAACCTTGAACCCTTCCTCTGCGGCATGATCTCTCCGGCTCTGCATTGCCCCCAAATCATTCTCTGGTTCATCCCCCTCCTCCGGTGCCAATGCAGAGTAATCCTCCCTCGCCAGCAGCACATTGTGGAGCATCGCGCACGTCCCAATGCACGTCACGGCGGCGCGAGGGCTCTCCTCCTCGTGGAGCCGCGCGATGGCGCCCCACCCCATCAGGCTCCGGACGGCGCGCCTCGCCGGGCGGCACATTGCCCTGTGCGCGGCGTTGAAGTGGGCCTCCGGGGAGCCCGGCGCCACCGCCCCCTCGAAGGGCACCATGAGCCAGCGGAGGAGCGGGTACCCGTTTCCATCCGCAACCAGGTACTGCGCGGGGTCGAGCAGCTTCCCCTGCTCCAGCTCCTGGTGCAGGGACGAGAGCCTGAGCACCTCGAGGTCGGCGCGGTCGCCGCGGAAGCCGGCGGCGAGGGAGAGGATGCGGGAGGAGGCGCCGGCGACGAGCTGCGCGGCAAGGGGCCCGCCCGGGCCGGCGAAGCGCGCGCAGGCGAGCGCGCCGCGGCAGGAGGGGAGCGGGGAGGATGAGGAGGAGGAGGCCGAATTGGAGGGGAAGGCGAGCCAGAAGCAGAAGTTGGCGAGGAGGACGCGGCGGAGGCGTCGTGACGCGGCCCGCGGGGCGGAGGGCGGGACGCGGAAGAGCGCGGCGAGCGCCGGGTAGGGGAGGCCGGAGGCGAGGCGCGCGAGGGCGAGCGCGAGGAGGGTCGGGCACGGGAGCGAGGGGTGGGAGAGGAGCGGGTCGAGCAGGCCCGAGAGGTAGTGGAAGGTGGGCGCGGACACGCGGAAGGCCAGCGGGTAGTGGTCCGGGCTCGTCGGCGGCAGCGGCAGCGGCGGCGAAGGCGGGGGCGGAGGCAGGGGAGGAGGCGGGACGGCGACGACGACGGGGGTCGCGGGGCCGGCCTCAGCGCCGTCGCCGTCGCCGTCGCTGTCGCTCCGCCTGCGCTTGCGGGCGGGGTCGGGGTCGGGGCCGAGGAGGTCGAGGACGAGGACGGA